AACTGGAACAGGATTCTAGGGTGAGTAGAGGGGAAATTTGAAAAAAAAATAAATAAAAAAGTTATGCTTAACTTAGCGTTGAATAAAGTTAAGTAGTAAGTAGGCACAGGTACACTGGCGGCAGAAATAATAGACTCGTCGTTATTTTAAAAATTTCGAGTATATTTCTTTAGTCTATTTTATGTTTAGTATTTTTTTTTTATAAAATCCCAGGTAGTTATGCAATTTTAACGTGGCGGGACCCAAACCCAGAGCACGCGAAGTTTTACGCCTTCTCACTTTAGCTCGCTCCCAAACGCGTGTTTGGTCGCTACCCAGAGTATACGTGGATGTAAATATCTGTACAGTCTCGGGTCCAGCGGCTATTTTACGTGACACTGGAGCTTTTCGTTCAGCTCATGCCTACTGACTTGCCTAGGTGACGGCTCTGCATCAAACAAGTATGTGTTCGGCTACTCACGGCTATAGCACTCTACTAAGAACTGCTTACTGAGCATGATGTTGTGCTCTCTTGCTGGGAGCCTTTGGATCTCACTGTGGATGTAATGTTCAGGCGACAACAGAAATCAACCCTTGGTTGTCCGGAGTGCTGCCTTATGGCGTTGTACTTGCGACCGGCGACCACGCAGGCATAGCATACTTTAGAACAGGCAGCTAATTGCTTTCTAAGTGCTGCCTGCGAGCGATTTGAGAACTTTGTTGCAGCTCTGCACTTCATTGGTAATTTTGGCTGTGTGCGCCGAGAAAACGAGCAGATTACTTCGAGAACTTCGGTTGTTCACCGTCGGAGTTGGTTCACCGTCGACGTGGTAGCATAGGGTAGTATGAAGGTTAGAAAGTTTTTCAAAACCCATCCACAGTGAACGTAAAACCGGTTTTAATATGGGTGAAATTTGTAAGCCGTACACCGTGCAAGGGTTTAGCAAGGCTTAGTGAATCCCTCAAATATCTAGTTCGTGGTAGGCACTCAACAGATTTTTTTAGTTTTCCGACACTGATTTAGAAATTTCGATTACTGCTAGAAACCCACGAAAAGTCATATTTCAAAAACACACAAACGAAAATTCAAAACAAAAATACAATTATAAATCAATTTATATTCACTTCAATGTCAAAATTAACGAATTTCTTCTTGTTCCATTCGTTTTCCGCAGGATTCCTCACCAATTCACAATCTGGCCAACACAAAGAAACAACACCTCAACCACTACCAACACCATCGGTCCACAAACAACTCTTCAACGGCGGTGGACAATGAAACCGTTGCGCTGCTAGAGACGCGCAACCAAGTCAACATACAGGCGCAGCTGCATACGCAGGCCAACAGTCAGAGCCACAGTGGCAAGGATGGCAGCGTTGGTGGCAACGGCATTGGCATCAGTATCGGCGGCAGTGGTGTTGGCACCGCCATCAGTCGCGCACAACAGAAACACAGCGGCCAAGCGAGACGTGCAAATGGTGGTGGACCACCAGCGCCCACATCGCTTCCGTTGGCGAGCGCACACAATACCACGCTGCTCAATGAAATGGCCGCCAGCGGGTGTGGTGCGGGAGGCGTTGGTCTATCAACTAGTGCAGAGCAAACATCGGTGCCGGTGAATGGATATGAAAGCGAAGGTGGATTGGTGAATTCGCTTAGTGGCACGCTGCCGCCGCGCAGGCGTATTGAGAACTTTCTGAAGTCTCTAGTGGGACGTAAGTCATCGAGCGCACGTACTAGCAGCAATTCGGGTAATAGCGGCAATGCGGACGCTTTATCAGTAGCAACATTGGCGAGTCGATCAGACAACATCGTCTCACATCAACCAATGCCCGCCTCTCCGGAAATAACTATTACGGGTACGCCATCAGAGCAAAATTTGGCGCTTTTGCGTGATGCCGCGCTGGCTGGACGTCAATATAAACAAGCGTTTGCAGCGGCATTGGAGCAGCGTAAAAGTGATTATAGTGGCGAAAAGTTGAACGTAAACGGCGCGATACAGGGTAGCAGTTCATCGCTAAATGTTGTGCAACAAAAGCTGTGGAACATGATGCGGCGCGAAGGCAGCGCGGCCAGCTTGTACAACGAGAAGTCACATTCGATAGTGCAGTACCGTGGCTTACGCAAGTGTGAGACTGTTTTGGCGCTTACGCGTCAAACTAATTCGTTGTGTTCGCCCGTTTTCGGAGGCAGTGCAGCAGCGCATCTGGGTGCGGGCGCAAAACACGGCAGTGGCGGCGGCGTTGCTCGACACAACAGCTGTAGCGCTGGTGGCGGTGCGAACGCAGGCAGCAGCGGTATGCGACGTACACACACCACCGGCAGTGGCATATACAGCGCAAGCGGCGTCGAGCAAATACGACCATTGAATCGGCTGCGGAACAGCGTTACGAGCATCAATGCTGCAGCGACATGTTCGCGTTGCTCTAGTCTACTCTCCTTAGCCG